TTGAAAGCCTCCACGTGGTCCAACGTGAAGCACTCCAGAGCACCGTGGTGGCAACTCAGCAGCAAGATTGCCAGCAACAGCTTGAAGCAGCTTTCGGCGGGGAACTTGAGGCCCACAAAGAACAGTCTCCGCCCCAGAAGCTGCCTCTTGCTTTCCTTGCTGGCATCGTCACTGCGCAGCGTTTGCCAGTCCAAGCCCGTGAGGTAGTTGTAGACGTAGTCGTGGCGCTGCGTCTTGCCCTCCGCCTTTGCTGTCTGCGCAGGAACACTGACGCCGCCGCTCGCCTTGTCCTTCACACATGACACAAGTTCCTCCTTGAAGGCAGCGGGGAGCTTCGCATTCTGCACGTGACGCAACATCTCCGTGGCTTCGCCCAGCGCAACCGCCGGGCCGGCCTGCAGGTCTGCCAAGCATTGCCGAAGCATCTGGCGCTGCGTGGCTTCCATCTTCTCTGGGTCCGCGCTTTCGCCCAGAGCACGCAAGAAGTCCAGCATTTCAAGCAAGAGTTGTTTGGCCATGCTGGCTGCAGCGTGTGCGGGCGAGCCTCGCCAAAAAAGCTTGCAAACTGGGTAACGAGCCTCCAGTCTATATATTATAAGCAAGAGCGGCAGCGAAGTTTAGAATATATCAGGAACATTTGTATATGTGCTGCAACGTCTGTTAAGAAGTTGGGAACAGTACAACGGGAACCGGAGAGAGCAGCACTCAGTGCACACAATTCTTTTTTCACGCACGTACATGCGGAGCGTGCTACAGGAAAAATGCGAAGAACAACAGCACCGGCAGGCAAGCCATGCCACGCAGCGCAAGCTTGCAGGCGAGCCATGCAAACTAGCTGGTCGTGTCGCTGTCGCTGAGGTACGTGTATACTGCAGACGGCCGACTGCGCGTCTTGCGCTTAACACCGCTGGCAGAGCTGGGTCTCTTCTTCACAGCGACCTTCGCGGCGGGCTTCTTCCACGGCGCCTTGCCTGCCTTCTTGGCTCTCGATGCTTCCAGATCACGGCGGAGCTTGAGGACGGCGAGGTCAAACTTGCGCACGACATCCTTGGCGTCGTCCATCTTCCCGCCTTTCTTGAGCAAGTGCTGCTTCTTGCCAAGCAGCGCGAGAAGTGGATGGGCGGTTGCAAGAAGCAGCGGCACGGGGTATGCGTTCCCTGCCGCCTGCCGCCGCAAATTGGATGCACAGCCTTCCAACGTCTTGGATGGGAAGCCCTGTAAAACCATTCGTTCATCGTCACGAAGGAACCTCCAGCAGCGTCGGTCGGACTTTTCCTTGTGTAAGTCCATGCTTGCGATGAAAAGATATGTGTTGTTGCACGTTAACGTGCAGCAACGATCCACTTGGTACTGGCGCTTGTACACACCTTCATCAGACCTGTCCAGTGGCATGATGACGAGGGAGTCTTTCTGGACGCGGCCATCGGCTAGCATGGTGCGCAAGTCCCGCTCTGCACACTGGAGGTTTCTCTTCATGTGGGCCGTGAGTTGCGCGTCTTGGACCGGCGGCAGGCCCTCCAAGATGAAATCTTGCAGCTTCTTGTGGCCGAAAGGCGGCAGCGGAGGAGGCACCGCCGAGCCCAGCGATGTCCTCATGCCTCGGATAAACACCCGTGAGCGGGCCTGCGCGAGATTAAAATCCAGCGCCGAAAGCTTGCAGTATGACCATACAAAGTTAGGGCAGTGCGCTGCAAGAAGTCGCATGATCTTGTCGAGGAAACTCTGGTCCTGCCCTTTCTCCTTCATGCATATCCCCGGCACGTTCTCGACGATTGCAAACTGCAACTCGCCCACAGCTGCCAGCGCGACGATCATGCGCAAAACATAGATCATGGCATCTGCCCTGGAATCCAATTGGCTTTGGCGCTTTCCTGCTGCTGACCACGGCGGACACGGGGGTCCAGTCACGACAGCGTGGATCGGTCGCTCGAGCTTGTCCAAGGGCACTGCCGTGACGTCTCCTCGTTTTTTTCCGACGTGGATTGTGCTGTCGGGCATGAGATTCTGCAGGTGGTCCAAGTAGCCCTGTTCCAGGTCGTAGACCATGCAGCACTGAAAATTCACGTTCATTGCTTGGAGCGCATGACCGGCGCCATCAATTCCACAGCATGGAATTGCGACCCGCAGGGCCTCTTTGAAGCGTGGCAACGCAGGCGCCGCCCTGCTCCAGTCGTTGCAGTCCACCATCGTGGGTTGCAGGGCGAGCCGCTGCTGGAGCAAAACAGAAGCACATCGGCTTAGCCGCAGGTGCTGCATCCATGAACGTATGCAGTTTCATTGCATGATTTGGCGAAACAGCAGCACCACGGAATGGACTTGGAACGCTCACTTTTCTTCGTCTTGCGCCACGCCTCCCCAGCTTGGCCGTTTAATGTCTGAAGAGTGTCCGGGCGAGCCACAGACATGAGCCGATTTCTCACTCCGGGGCTCTTGCAAGGGCTGCAGGCGCAAACAGCAGAAGAGCAGCACCAAAACCATTGATGTCTTCTTGGAGCCTGCCCAGAAGCTGCCTCGCAAGCTGCATCTGGCCACGAGCATTCGACAGCTCCACACGCAGCTCGTCGTTCTGGACCCTCAAGGCATCCCTCTCCTTTTGCAAGCTGAGCACCTTCTCGTTGAGCTTGCAGACTTGGCCTTCCAGCTCAACCGCGTGGCCGCCCCAGCCCTCCACATCTGTTTCCGCATCGTCCGGAAAAAACTCGGCCCCTTTACGTTTTAAGTGTCCCATGCCTGACGCTACACTGCAGGGCGAGCCACTGCTTGCACAGAAAAACGCCTGAGAGAAAAGATCCGGCAGAACTGTGTTTGTCATGTCTCTATATCCAGTCTTACATCAACTTGTTTTTTAAAATGTACACACATGTATATGTGTATCTGCAGGGCGAGCCACTGCAGAAACATGATTGGTCAGGGCGCATGA